AATTGTGCCACTTATATGTTTTCAAATTTGTGAGTGACACCAACCTGACCGTATAATGCAGCAATTTGGAATGGTTCAACATATTCTTCGTGCTTCATACCAACCTGACCAGCTACATAACATTACTTTAAGAGGGAAGACGTGAGAATTGGTCAACCAAGTTCAGAGGCATAGTGGAGCTATTAAGTTCTAACTATGAATATATGTGGTGGTACATTACTCACACTAGACGATGGATGACCGGGGATGTAGCTGTATTTGCATTACTTGTACATAATATGAATGAAATTATACACTATTTGATTGTGTTTTGATTTCTTATTTGTTAAAGGTTTATATTGTGTCATTGTAGGGAGATGCTCATGAAAGAGCATATTACTTGTGTAATGATGGTAAAGACTCATTTTCATTTGAGGAGATGAACGAGTTGTGTGAGACTATGCTATCACTACAGAATGAGCAGGAGCGTATATTAGAGCCTGCTTCTTCATTTGACCCTTCTATTCAGAATAGAAATCCAGCTGATCCAGACATTGACATTAGTCAACCTGCGAACAAAAGTAAAGCTAATACACCATAATATTTCTTTTTACCATATTACATGTTGTACTTATGTTCTTACATGTTCTTCATGGGACAATTTTCAGGCAACAGAGTAGTCACTTCTCTCTTTGCCAGAACGTAGAGACGACGTCTATTATGTCCCATTACAGTTTCCCTTTCACCCTTCCCAAGCCGCTCAGACATCTTACTTTTACTAATCACAGTACACTTCACAGCTTCTTGCATCTTCATTTAGCGGTGGTCAATATTATGTCATTGAGGGTAGCCTCTACATGACACTTCCTCCATATGAGCCATCATTCTTTACACCTGATGCACCGGCTATAGGAGGTCATCAGAGTGGGCAGGGATAGGAAACATCATCAGTCCAAGTAGGTGCGGACCATGGCATTGATCTTAATGCATAATTTATTGTTGTTGCTAATACAGAGGTACAAGATGTGTGTCACAACCCTCATCGTGAAGCACGAGATCGTCGTTGACAGTGCATACTCACACCTTATAAGGCAGGGCATTTGGATGAATCCTTAGATTCAGATTGATGTCTTGTTTTTTTTGTAATTTTTCTATTTATAGACTTTATGTTACACTTTTGATTAATATTACTTGTCGACGAACTCTATCTATAATCAAAACTGCTATATTACCTAAAACAATGTTGATTAAAACATTAACAAAGAAATATGTGTTACACCTCAATAACATTAACAACAACGTACATTAATACTTCAATAACATTAATAACAAGCTATTTTAATACTTCAATAACATTAATAACAACAATATGTCGTGGAACGCAATATACTCTTACATCTAGTGATAATTAGGATCATGATGTTGAGGACATTGATGTTGGTTGTGACCAGGTTGTTGACACAACCTATATCTTTGTCATGGTTGTGACTCGACCCAATCTATTTCATTCCTAATTCGAGTAGCCTTTGGACATTTACCTCGTACTCTTTCTACATCTGGTACTAACTTCCACTCATTATTATGTAAAATATTATTTTCATTACCAAGAGGCCACCACTGAGATGAATATGCGTTCACAACATACTGTAAAGTATAAACAGGATCCACAAATTGCCAAAAGTCTATACTTATATGAGCACAAACAGCTATGACATGTGAGCATGGATATCAGAATGCCTTAAATTTCTTGCATTCACAATAAAGTATGGATAATATGACTGTCCACTTATGACCACCCCTTTGTGTCACTGGATTAAAAGCCTCCTCAACCTCAAACCTTATTCTTTGTATGTCACACCGTCAAACTTTATGTGAGAATGCATCTTGTTGATTTTTTTCCATAGCTTCCATTAATTTTTGACAGTATCTTCTTCCATTGTTAACCTCATTCAATGCGGTTTCACCACGCTTCACAAAATATTCTACCAATCTTACATACGTAGCTTTCACCAAGGCAGTAATAGGGAGGTTTCTTGCTTCTTTCAAAACTTTATTTACGGACTCAGACAAATTAGTAGTCATGTGTCCATAACGATGTCCTTCATCATCATAAGTCAAGCTCCATTTTTCCTTTGATATATTATCTATCCAAGTCTGAATTTCAGGTGATGGTGATCGAAACGTATTAAGCTTTGATTCAAATATTTGTTTCGATGATGTATATCCTGCATTTAACAGGAAAAGGTAGAATGTAAAGATTAAATATTCAAAATACATTAAAACATAAACCCATCAAATGTTTAAATACGTACCTAATTAAATTAGTTTTTTCTTCAACATGGTATTTTTGAATCGTTGATTGAAATTGCTTGCAATGTGACAAATGCAATAAATATGATAAGCATTTGGAGGTTGCCAACCAATATGTGGGTTAAAGACTACCTTTTATACTTTGATGCCGATCTGAGATCAAACAGAACTCTGCCTTATTTGTCACATTTATATGAATCATGGCTAAGAACCATTCCCATGCAGGTAAGGTTTCTCCTTCCACAATGGCAAACGCAATAGGAAGCACACAAAAGTGTGACCTTCAACATAATCATTTGTTTCAATTTTGTATACAGATCTAGGAGCATGTAATTGCATGTACTCTAGCCACCTTGGCAATGCAGCATAAGATTTGTCCTAATCACCAAATACATTTATTGCTTTTTGTTTTGCTTTCCATGCCTTCTTATACGAAATTGAATATCCAAATTGACCACTAATTCTCTCTTGAATTAACGAAATAGGCACTGATGATTCTTCTTTCACCATACATGCATGTACGATAATAATAAGGGAGTTTTTCAGTTTGTTAGGATGTTATAGGATGAAAATTAGTATATTTTTTCTATTTCAAAATATTAAAATTTAATATAAGATTTGACATGCCAAGAATGCATGAGCAAATAATTTTGGAATCCAACTTTTAGTGGTCTTGAGAGATTAAAGCACGTACGCACATATAGACACCACCCCACTTTATAATTTTTCACCTGTCTACATTTTTTTGGCAATGATGCTTGAATCTCTAGGGACATCCACTATTGTGATTGACACACTTCACAACATATGTTGTTGCTTTTGACTCCATCACAAAAAAAGTTTGATGTTTCCTCATGGCATAATGTTTTATAGCCATTCTTACATCTTCTTTAGTGTCAAATAGTTGTCCAACATATAATGCATGTCATTCATACCAAGAAAATCTAATTCTGGATCAGGGTATTCCAAATTAATATGACTGTAATGTAGGGTTATATTCCAAAAATGCAATGTAGTTTCTGCATTACAACAACTCAGTTGTCAAATTTATACCCCCATTAACAATTTATATATTACTACATATGTAAGTTATAAAAATCTATCTTTTAAATCACTATCTAAAATCATACCTCCATGTTGTTGTTGCGTTGAACTAACTCTTACAATACCCTCCATATTGATAATTGAATCACAATCATCATCTGTCTCAGTATCAGAAAAATTATTTAATGAAATATCTTCTTCATCTTCATATTCATTATCTTCATCTGTAGATCATACATTGTAAACTTATATTATTAATAGTATTTGCAGCATCAATTTTAGAAATTTAAAATTATCAATTTCATATTACCTTCTCTTGTTGCATAATCATCATCATCATCACTCTCATGATTGAGTGAGAGTGATAAATTCACTTCTAACGGATGTGCCACAACATAAGATATTTCACCGACCTCAACATCCACATATATCTCAATTACATTCCTATGATGTGGTTGTTGACACGCACTTATCATGCAATCTATGTCTTCATCGTCACATACATTCAGAGCTGTATGGTATTGACCATTTGTCCCAACTAAAATTTGTGAAATTAATCTAGAAATTACGTGACAATTAGACAATTTCAATTTTGTGTGGATCTTCCTTTTAAACATCTCAAATGTGATCTCACGTTCTATCTTAATCATTTTTTTCTCCCCTTCAAAAATTATACCTCATTTCCTTCATATATTCTAACATTTGAATATAATATAATAACAATTTCATTCATTCTGCATTAAAAATAAGCCAAACTTATTTAAAAATTATTTTATAATATAATAAAATTATATTTAAAATTTCATTTGTAATTATAAATATTTAAATATTTAATTTTTAACATTATATTTTATCTGTCTTATTTTCAAACATAACAAAAAAATTAAATTACAACATTAACACTTAAAATATTATCCAAATGTAAAATAAATATTATTCAAAATAAAAATTCTTAATAGACAATAAAAAAAATTACATATTTATAATGCTTACAATCTAACCTTATTGCTCTGGTTGCTATTTCTTGTCCAGCTCCACGGTTATTGTGTGAATATTTTGTATTTATACACATTTAAATTTGGACAAAAGAATGTATCAAAATTTTTATCCACCGATCACGTTAAAATCGGATTTAGTTAGACAACACTGGAGTCATCTCTGTTGTGGACGCTACTAAAATCATCCCAAATATGAACGACATAAGTTCTTAGAGTAACACGTGTCGACATCTCATAAGTGTCGACTACTAATGGGACGACAATCTCACAGTTGGCCACGTCATCACGAGTGTCGTCCCTGTTCTAAACGATTTTGTTGCCACGTCACCCGTCCACCTCAAATTGAAAATTTGTTTGCATGCAATCCTATTTTGATAATTTATTTTTAGAATAACCAAAAAGGCAAAAAAACTCGTCAAACTTAAAGTGAAACTATCAAATAATTGACATGTGGTATTAGGGTTTAGGGTGATATCTATGATAAAATATATTTTTAAAAAACTTAAAAAATAAATACCCTCACTAGCAATCACAACAAAATCGTATGCCTACTTCACAAATTTACACCAAACAGAAAATTGGTTTAGAAAATTCAATAACTTAAGAATTAGTTTTTTAATTTACAATATTCTGCCTAAGAAGCCTCGTATTAGAGAAAGAAGCGTGAAAACTGAGAAACGAGGACTACTGAGTCAAACCTGCATCGATAACTGTGTTGACGCTTGAGAATGGAAGAAGGCGTGAAGAGATGGGTGGTAGACATATCCAAGTGGGACCCACACCCATGTGACTTCTCCTTCGCTCTCTCCCTCCTTCCTTCCCACCACCACTCCTCCGTTATCAGGTATTTTCCATTTTCATTATTATTTTTGTATAAATGGAATGTTGAAATTAAGTGGTTTTGATTTTTGAGAAACTTATGGAAATGGGTTTTGAATTTTGATGTGCATTGGTAGGTTTCTTAAGATGGAAGACAAGAAGCGTGCACTTGTAAGCCGAATGCTTCAGTATGCCCTTGTCTATGATCTCTTCCAAATCCCATTTTCTCGCATTCTCATCCAACGAACTCCGCAAGGCAAACCATATTTGGTATCATCATTTCCTCCAACAATCAAAGATCAATGATTCATGTTAGTTTGTTATTTTGTTTTAGCCTTATATATTTGTTTATCTTCTCTTTCATTTCAGGATTATGATAAATTGGATCTTAGATTCCCAAATTTTAATTTCAATGTATCACATCATGGTGACTATGTGGCCATAGCATCTGAACCTGTATGTCTTGTGGGGATAGACATTGTCTCCTATGCTGTACCACAGGGAGAAACAATTTCAGAATTCATTCAATTCTTCTCATCGTACTTTTCAAATTTGGAATGGAATAACATAGTCAATGCTGGCACTTCTGATGATGTGTTAATAGAATTTTACAGGTATGATAGTATTAGACCTGGGCATTTTTTGACAACTTTCATGGAATAGTTCAATTGTATATACTTCTTGTGATTGAGTTTATTCTTCTCAATGCTGCTGCTCTAGCATGCAGAGAGAGTGAGAGCGTATGCGCAACTTTGCTGCTGTATCTTACTTATCCTCATCCTACTGCTATCTTCCTTCTATTGTCTCTAATAAAATTCATTTTCGTCATACAAATAAATTAATTCCTCTGAATTCCAAATATATTTCCGCACCCAACTGCCTCTTGATAGTTACATGCTTGTGGTAAGAAACCAATGTTGAGATGTGTGGGATGTTGGAACACCGGGAAGATCTCCATCAACAGTCTCAGAGAAAACCATGTAACACAAGCAGACTGAACACCGCATCAAACCCAAAATCTTAAGGCTTTAGGTCTATAGCTCCTTGCTACTTATATATATTCAGCTTCCTGTTCTTATCTATTCAAGTTGATAATTTATTTTTATCGGCTAAACAAGTCTAAAGAATTCCTTGTAAAATTAAAGTGGCTTTTTTGAACTGAAGACAGCTCATACTGAGTGTCACGGGTGCATTTTCTTTGCAGGTATTGGAGCCTAAAAGAAGCATATGTTAAAGCTATAGGGAGTGGACTGACTGAAGGGTTGAATAAAGTGGAATTTTCTCACACAAGCTGGACTAATATATCAGCTAAAATGGATGGGAAGGTTATGACAGAGTGGAGATTTTGGCTGTTTGAGCTTGGGGATAGACATTGTGTAAGTAGCTCATTAGCCTTTAATACACTGACAATTATGACTAGATTTCCCTGAACTATTCTTTATTTCAGTTATTACTACAACATGTGGGAAGGGGGGTTGAGGGGTATTGAGTATTGACCAAATAATAAATGAAGTGTAATGCCCTTTTCAGTCACATGAGATTCCATGTTTCTTTAATTCTTTCTGCATCCATATAGTTAAAATCTGCTATTCTATTACATTTTGTCAGGCTTGAAACTTCATTTCCTTTGCCAGTTTCCCTTGAGTGAACTTAAGGGGAGCTACCATTATATTGGTAGACTGCAAAGGAAAAAAAACTGGCATGCGTAGCAACAATTCCTAGGATTTCATTTTTACTGAAGGGTGGATCATATAGTTGTACAAAAGTAATATTCTAGATTTGTACTGCAAATACAAGGCAGCCATTTTGCTGGAATTCAAAATTTCAAATAGGTGTAAGTGCTTATTAAGTTTGCCAGCCATGAGAAGACTGTTAAGGTGGCTTCATAGAAAATGACATTGAGTGCTTTCTCAAGCGAATTTTAGCACATGTATGCCCACAAGATATGTGTGTAGGATGACTTGGATGAAATTTATTCCAAGATGCCCTTGATCAGTTCCTTGTTTTACAGGTTTCAATTGCAAGAGTTCACCCAATATCAGCTGCTATGAGTTACAGAACAACATTGAAGAAAGTGGACTTTACTGAAGACGAATATAATCTAGGTCTTCATCTCCCAAATGTAGACTTAGTTAAACTAGAAGTAGAGCAACTTATTTCAGTTATACAGAAATCATTTGATTGTAAGCATACTGGTTAGATGTTAATCTAAATATAAGAACAAAGGTTTGTAAATGTCAATGAAAACACTTATCTTCACTTTCTCAATCCAAATAAAGTTTTTCTGTATTGTTGATTAATTTCTTAAAAACTCAATGAGGTTGCACATGGGTCAATCCCCCTTTTTTAGTACTAATGGCTATACAAAGGTTGGCAATAAAAAACAAAACCTTTTCTACTAATAAATATATACATATAAAAGTTTTAAATTTAAATTAGTATCATAACTATTATACACAGCTTATCAGCTAAATTTTTTAACGATCATTATTCATTAAATCTTTGTTTTTGATGGAAATTGAAATGTGAGTATTATTAAATACCAATAAGAAAATGGTGATTGATTACACATAACTGGAGCTTATAGCTCCTAAAGAAATTCCAGCAGAAATTGGAATTTTGCCCACTCTAACTAAATGCAACGACTTACTTTTTTCTAGTGCCCTGCACACCTTGCCTCTCACTCTTATAATGCCTCCTTTAACTAATGCATTGAATTTTTTTTTTTTTTTTTTTTTGCTTTCATGCTCTTTTTCTTTCTCATATATACCTTCCACACTTTGAGTCTTTCAACAGATCCAATAATTGATCCTCTTCCTTTAGTTTGTTACTCAGGCCAATAGCTCCAAAATACCTCCTGCTTAAACAATAGCCTTGAGAAGTTGATTCCTCAGAGCTTATGTGGATGCAGTTTAAGAAAAACTCAATTATCAATAGCAAAAGTTACATCTTTTCGGTGCTTGTCTGCATAACGTTTCATTTATTCTTATACTTTACTAGAATTAAATTTCAATTGCTTTATGGCCTTATTTCTATCTTTAAGATCTCTTGCCACAACCTCCACTTTAGTTTCTCCATCCAAGTACCTCACCACTAATGGAGGCTTATGCCCATACATGGAACGTGATATTATACTACAATTCTGCCCAAGGCAATAACAAAGACCAATTTTGAGGTTGTTCAGAAACAAAGCAACGTCGATAAGTTTCTAAACAGTGATTGATCACTTCTAATCAGCCATTAGTTTCAAGGTGATAAGTTGTGCTCATTGTAAGAGATGTACCTTGTAATTTAAAAAGTTCCCATCAAAACACATTAACAAAAATAGGACCCCTGTCATTGAGAATAGACAAAAGAAACCCATGTACATTAACAATTTTCTTCACAAACAATGTTACAATAATTTGCGCCGAATATATAAGATAAAGTGAGCAAACTTAGAGAGCTGTCAACTACCACCAAGGCATCATTACCTTTAGATTGAGGAAACCTTGTAATAAAACCGTTGAAATTGCTCCCACACTTGATTCGAAATTGATAAGGGTTGCAATAATTCATTTGGAAGGGTAGCAACGTACTTTATTTTTTGTCACACCACAAGATCTTATGAACTCAGTGACAAATTTCTTCATTCACAACCAGTAAAGTTGCTAGTAAACATGCAATACGTCCAATGATAACAGGAATGTCCCCCAATAGTTGTAGTATTTCCAACAATAATGTAGGAATAAGAGCAGACTTTGTAGAAATGACGAATATATTTTTGAAGAAAAGCACCCCTTTGTGAATAAAAAAATTCGATCGACTATTAGCATCCTTGGTGAGATAAAAAATGATGTGTTGTAGTGAAAGTCCATATCCACCTCTTTTTAAAGTTTTGTGCTTTGTCGCCAAATTGGAAAAGAGACTAACCTGTCCGATTTTCCTTTCACTGGAAAATGAGAAAGTGCATCGACAACTTTGTTTTGAGGCCCTAATTTATATATCACCTCAAATTAGAAGCTAAGTAATTTGGGGAACCAATTTTGCTTATATGCAGAAATCACTCGTTACTACAATAAGTCTTTAAAACTTTTCTGATCTAAATATACAATAAACTTCCTCCCCAATAAGTAATGGTGCCAATCCATATCCTAGGATGAACTTCCTCCCTTCACATTTCTAGGCTTTGACCAATTGAGAATGCTCTGCTCCTTAGCTAGTTACAAAGACACATTTGTTTGACAAAATGTGACCAAAATACTCTACTTGGGTTATCCCAAAGCTACATTTCTTCTTATTTGCAACAAACTAATTTTCTTTTAGCACTTGGAGGACAGAGGACAGGTGTTGCAAGTGAATCTTCTAATCCCTACTATACATCAATATATCATAAAAAAAATACAAGGACAAATTTGCATAAAAATGACTTGAACATCTAGTTCATTGTTGCTCGAAAAGTAGCTGGGGTATTCATTAACCCAAAGGGCATTACAAGGTATTCCTAGTGACCTTCATGGGTTCTAAATATTGTCTTTGGACACATCTTTCCTCATCTTTATACGACAGTATCCAAATTTTAAATTCAACTTTGAAAAGAAGTTTGCCCATGTAATTCATCAACGATTAGAATAGGAAATTTGTCATGCCTTATTAAGAGCCTTATAGTTCACACACATCCTCTATGTAGCATCCTTTTTTTTAAAAAGAATTACTGGACTAGAAAAAAGGGCTAAAACTATCACGAACTATACCTTGCTACAATATTTTGTGAACTTGATGCTCAATTTGAATTTTTTTTATTACGTGGATAGCGATATGGCCTAACATCTATCATGAACTATACCTTCCTTCGTATTGATGAAATGGGTTATTCCTTGAGGAGATAGCCTAGCCAGGTGGTTAAAAACTTTCTAGAGACTCTTACAATATTCACTCTAACTCCAATTGTTATGAATTCAGCACTCCCTTTTTTCACTAAGCCCCTCTTCTAAGTTCCACAGTAACCTTTCTTGTATCCTTTTTTAGCCTTCCAAAGCACCAAGGAAAGAGTCTTTAAGGTTGGGATTGTCACCATAAGTGCATCTTGAACCTGGCACAAAAACACCTCACACAACATTTCCAAAAGTTTTAAATATTGAGCTCCTTTCAATTTGTTAGATATATTGTTATTTAGTAATTATAATAGCAATTTTATTTATTTGTTGCATTAAAATTTAGTATTCATAATGCGTTAGTTTTTTTTTTTTTCTGTTTTTGGGCTAAGTCAGGTCAAGGTAACTGCACCTGTAGGATTCAAATTAGAGATTATTAGTAGTATTATGTTAGATTGTTTAAATTAATTTGCTCAATAAACTTTAATGTACTACTTGGTTCAAATGAAGAGAGAGGAAGACGGAAGAAAAATGGATTTACCATTATATACTTAAAATAGTTAAATATACACATTAAGACAATTTTGTCTAACTAATATTTTTCTCTCCTCCAAATCCCTCCAATTGGAGAGGAGTTAAAGTTGAGTGAGCAGAAATTTTGGCCTCTCCCCTTTTATTCCTTCCAAACTGTTGAACCAGAAATGAAATACATACATACATATATATATATATATATATATATATATATATATATATAATTTTCTTCTCCCATCTCCACTCCACTTCTTTTGAACCAAATAGTATGTAGCAAATAAACTTTCAATGGTCATCGCCATCGGCACCAAATTATTTTAGCTAGCATCAAAATTGTCGATTAACTTGTATCAAAACAAAGTAACGAGATCCTCAGCGGTCTAATCTTTTTGTTTTTAGCTTTACTTTTATAAGTAAAAGAATCGTATTGTGCTCTAACAGTAAGTAGGGAACTGAAAAATGGGCAGCTACTAGGGACCACTAACGGGCTACAAGGTTGGCATGTTTGGTCTCAATTCCATTGTGATGCTGCGGGATGGGGAGAAAAGGAATCAATTCCTTCTTTAATTTGGCAAAACTGAGCGAAATATGTTATGTAGATAACATAGAATAAGATGTCAGTGAGATGTTTGGATCCCAAAGGACAAAAGATGCTAACCTTATTCAAAGGATTCGGTTACTGACATGTTTATTGAAGTTTTCAAAACGCTAAAATAATTAGGAAAAAGTTCATTTTACCTTCATGTAAGTTTAGTTATGTATAATTTAGATCTATACTTTAGAAAGACAATACAATGCTCTATACTTTTGAAAGTATGGGGAAAAAACTCTTCTGTTATTCAGATGTTCAATTCTTCTGTTTTATATACAAAAATACCCTAAAAAATACTGGCTGCCACAGAGAAAAGAAAGATTAGAAATTTAGAAGTATTTTTTTGTTTAAGAAACAAAAAAAAAAAATTAATGTCTAAAGAATAGATAGGCTTTTTTTGCTAACTTTTAAAAATATAGGGCGTTGCGTTGCATATTTTTAAAAATTAAGATTTAAATTGCACATGACTAAATATAGAGATAAAGTAAACTTTTCCCTAATAATTATTTGACCATATTCAATTAAGGTGCATTTGATTTGAAAATAAAATAACTATTTATGGTTCTTATCTTTACTAATAATTACAAGAATATCTCCTAGTTTTTGTTTATGTTAAGTTTTTTATAGAATCTAAAAAGAAAAAAGTGAGAAAGGGAGAAATTATCTAGACTTAGAAGAAAAGAGAGAATAGAGAAAAGAGTTCCGTAGGGCCTGGTAAGAAATTTTCTAACCAATTAAGGTAAAAATCTTGAAAAGATAAAATCAAATTCATTCTCCCATTCTTTGATCATCATCTCCTTTTATCTCTTGTCCATCAATTTTTTTTTATAATTTGTGTAGAAAAATAAATATCATTACAATAATTTTTTTCCTTTCCACTTTTTAATCCAACCAAATAAGTAGTGAGAGATAGAAACTTTTCTTTCTCTTTTATTCCTTTCCTCTTTTTATGTCAAACCAAATAACCTAAAAACCTACCCATTTTTAACTCAATTTTTCTATTATTGCACTTCTTTTCACATATTAATTATTTCCTCCTTACATCTCCTCCTTCCAGGCATACGTTAGTTTCTTGTTTTTAAACATTTGCATAAAACAATATAGTAAAACAACAAAGTATTGACTATTTGTAGGCCAACATTTTTGTCGTGTATTTTGTTGCCAATATTTTGTTATTTTGAATGCTTCTTGATTAAGCCAAAATTGTGTTTTCTTTTATGTGCACTGAAGGTATTCTAGTCAATAGCCCAAGACTAATTCCTTCCCAACTATAGATCATCAAAGTAAGTTTTTATCTTTTCCAATAATACTTTTTCCATACATGAACTAAAACCTCGGTGAACATACCAACTAGAAAAACTTTATTGGTCAAAGACATACTCATGATATTCATAGATTCATATTATTATAATTTTTCTACAATATTTAGGTTCTTAAAAGTCTTTGCGACGTAGGGCTACTAAGGATAAACACAATTATTCTGTAAAACTTGTGGGATCCCACTCAAGAACTATCATGTCTTGCCGCACTGTAAAATGACATGCATACTCATGATAATGTAAAATGCGAAAATAAAATTAATTGCACTTCTTATACTTAACATTATAAAATAAAATACAATTACTAAAAGCATTGAAGATTTAACTTTTCCATCATAAGATACATGATATTTTTTTCATATTCAATTTTTAATATCAACAATCATAGAATCCCATGCAATCAATTAAAACACCAAATCGATAGCTTAAGCTTCGTCGACACTTCATCGAACTATCCATTAAGGATAATACTGTTAAATAGGAACATTATTGAGAGATTTTGCCTTCTCACTATAAGGTGTATTTTGAAATTTTTAACTTGACCCTTTGTAGTGGAATCCAAACTTGAACTTACATGAACATGAAGTAATGCAAAATAAACAACCATATGTTTGTTCGCATAATTTCCAAACCGAGTTTGATAAACATAATGTGCAAACTACGTTATAATTAGCATTTGAAACACAAACAGAAAATAATGAAACACTATGTCCTGCTCCGTGCTCTTTAATTGTTATTCTTTAGTGGAACAAAAATTTGGTTCTACTAACAGAATAGAACGAAACAATTTTTCGTATTCCATTCTTTTGGTTCTCTTCTTAGTGAATAAATAAGCACCATTCTGATAGCCTTATGGTCTATTTTCTTTGTAAAATTCACCAAACATATATTAAAATTCATATGTTCCATCCTGTATTTGACCTGTGGCACTACCACAAGATTACTCCAAGCAAAACAGGATGGTTAAGGATCTCATTTTTCAGTTCCATGATTAGAAAGTTCATCAGAATAGATAAAATACCATAGGTGCTTTTTTAGATTCTGCTATTATTAGTTTTGAGGGTATCAAAGTATCTGGCGTTTACACATTGTTCTAAAAATAATAGCATTCTTAATCAAATGCCACAGAAAGGACATTAATCCTCAGGAAGTCAAGAACATCTCATATAGCAGCAGGCAAGAGAATTTTGATGCTTCTTTACGTGAAATTAAAAAACTGCAAGTGTGTCCTAAACGTATAGCAGCCAGGACCACCATAAATGGTGATGCATGATTCTTCACATCCTCCATGCACAACACAATGATTAATATAGGAATAAATGGTTCAAAACATGGCTTTTGATAAAGGAAGTACAGCAAAATTTTAAATCAGGGGCAGACTGATAACTAGAAATATATATAACGTACAAGAACAAAACAGACTGTAAAACTACCATATTAGTCCGCAATTAAAAATTCTTTCAGAAAAACATCACTTTATCTGTACGGTGGCACCCCAATCATTGGTTCCAAGGGAGCCAATTGATGTCGTAGAAAGTTATAAACTGATTCAGTTGTCTCAGCAGCCACTCGAACAAGGCAGCCAATTCTCTGCACAAAATGAAGATGCAGCTAGCAACATTTAAAGCTAATCATATTACAGAGTCCTGACTCAGGGCATTATCATCCAATTGTTTCAACGAATCATGTGTATTTTGAAAAATGCTAGCAACACATTAATTCACACACTCTCACCCAATAATGAAAAGTGCATTGAAAGAGTGAATTTCCAGCATGATGCAATGTTTTCACCCTGATGTTCAACCAGCTAAATTTGTGTGTCTTCCAGTAGCACTTGAAATATTTTGTTAACCACTAAATAAGTAATACAAATGTTAATTTGGATTCTACAAATATTTTTCTAATGTTCAAGCTTTTAAAGCATAAGTACGCTTAAAAGAACAAGTTGCTAGCATTCCTCTATTTCTTTTACCTTATCTAAATACAAAACTTATATGCATGCAATATCATAGGTACTATTGGTGTTCGTTCTCCAATCAGAATTGAAATTTCATCTCAATAATCTGCATAATAAAAGTTGACATTAAAGGTCAGCATAACAACATTAAAGGTCAGTACACATTACTGAAATGAAACTCCAACTCTGATAGGAGAACAACACAAACAGTACCTATAGTACTGCACCTAAGTTATGTCCTCTAGTGTGTCTCAAATGCACACGGATTTCAGTCAATGTCTCTCAATCTCTTCTCACTCAACAATTTCAATAAAATCAGGTATCTTGTCAATTCTTGATATATGTGTCCTTTTGAATTTCCTTTTATGCTTATCCCTTCCCTTCAACATGTGTTCACCAAATTAACATATTTTAGATAAACAATCACTGTTTTATTCTGTTTCAACTTTGAACATATATCTTTTATTCCCTGCAAAACATAACAGAAATTCGGTGTCCCATAAAATATTATAATTATCAATATGCATTAAAAGTCAATCTCTCAGAACAATACAACCAAGATCTTAGAGCAGGAAGAAGACTTCATGCAATGACACCTTGAGACAGGATCTCCCTGCAGCATCCTACCAAGGTAGCTCAGTCCTTTCACCAAATTTAACAGAAGACCAAATATCAATTCCTGTAATCCAACAATAATCATTTCATCGTGTATGCTGATACAATCTTACCCAAAACCTCCCCAGCAGTCAAGGTCATATGTTCTGCCAGCTAAGTGGGGAAACCGTTTTGTCTCAATTGGAACACAAATTCCAAACTTAAATATGCCCCAGACTAGTGAGTTTTGCTGTACTAGAAACAAATGGACTGCCTCACCTAAAACCCCCATTGGAAAAAGAGGATCCGTAATTCAACAAATCATCATTCTTCCGCATTTCACAACTACAGACACTACCTTCAAATGCCCCTAATTAGATCTAGTATTAGTATTATTGGTACAATCACAATTAAGACAAACTAAACTAATAGCATCACACCAACACTTCTATCTTAAATCGATGACTAGGAAATGAATTGAGTTCAAGCAAACCAGAATCATTGGAGAAGTCAAATACATACAAACTCAAGTAAAAGCACTGTTTAAACAATGACATCACACTGGTATCTAGACATTGTTATATTCTAGTTAATCAAAATAACTTAAAATTTACCTTAGGACCAAAGGCACTGCAAGAAGCCATGAAGCTTGGCTTTGAAATGAAATGATCAGCCTTGTCTCGTTGGTGACTCAAAGCACCAGAAGGATGCTGTAATCGCTCAGACATAACTTCTTTCACGTGATCTTGCACTAAATTCTGGATATACTGCATCTTTGGGCTAAAGAATCAAATAGTACACATTCATAATAAAAAAAGCATTTAATCTGACACTGAAACTAATACAAATCAAAACCACTCACCCTAAGATTACAATCATTGCAATTACTTGGTAGTTGTGCATGCTTTCTTGTATGCATCCAATCTTTCCTTTCTCTAATAACATCTGTTTGTAACAAGCCAAGAGTAGAATATTGGAGGAAAGGTTATCAATCCTAAAATAAAAGAATTTCCTTTTCAAAAATATCTCTTGAAACTTTATTAATTCAACCAGAAAAGGCATGCTGTTTTGTGCCCTGTAGGTGACAGGAGGAGAAAAAGATGAAGAGCAACATATGCAGCAAAATTCAAATGCAGTACCCTTGCCCCCTTTTTGTTCACTACTTGTTTCATGGGTTTCCAATGAAACAGCAGTTTTATCCTTTTCCAATAACTTTTGGTTGTAAAATGGGAGTACAACATCAAATAATTTGCATAATGGAAATATAAAAGTCCCAAGATTTTGGCCCATATAGTGCATAGAAAACTGTTAAGTGTACTCTTATCTACTATTCGTTAGATGCCATAATTGACCACTGCCCAGCAAACATTTCAAAGGGGATCATTAATGGGAAAAAAGGAGATGTGAAGATGGTGAAAATATACATCATAGACAATGATTGTGTAAGGCATACCAAACATGTTTCTCATGGTACAGGCTACTAAAGTACATGATTTGGAACCCCAAAAGCATTAATCATCTCCCTGTATTTAAGAATATCAATCAGTAGAAAATAGAAATTATTCCTTTACCAGTTAAGAAAAACATAAAACAATGTCAGTTAATTTTAATCCTGAAATTCTAAAATTGCACCTTAGTAAGAGCTTGGTTTAGCTTATTTTAGAGAAGTAATCAGTTATATTTATCAATTTCCTGAGAGCTTTTGAAAAATAATTATTCCTCCTGAGAAAAGCATTACCAAACATACACTCAAAGATAATTGATTGAGCCTGAATGAAGCCCAGGTGAAACAGATTGGTGCAGCAATACAAGCCAAATTTAAAGATTGGGCCAGCCACTTAACCAGCTTCATTCATTAGTGTTGAAATCTATCAACAAATTTCCCAAGAAATTTGAAAATTACTTTTGATATCAAAGAATAAGAGAGGAAGTTAAGATTCCGTGATAATTTTAACAAAATATACTCATTACAAGACACCCTTTCTCTATACATATCAACCCCGAGCAATTTGGAAGTATTATTGATAACAAGCATGACAAGGACAGCAGTAAAACCATTACCGTATCCAGGAATAAAGGTTGACCATCTTCTAAGAATATATTATTGGTGCTTCTATATAGATCAAATTCCCATTTTTCTCCACTTTCATGGCGCCCACTTGTAATCCAATCAACAATTACCAAATTTGAGTCTAAAGACACACTGAAGACTTGTTTCTGATAGTATCTTGCAGTGGAAAAGCATGTCACTGGATCTGGAATGATGGCTAAAAGTGCATCACTTCCAACTCTAGCCTACTACACAATGAATTCAGCTGTTGTCAGTTGTCACTTGAAACTAATAAATCCAACAATAGTCAAACCTTAACCACAAATGAATAAAAGGTCATTAAAGTATTTCTCTTGAAAAATAGAAGTGTGCTATGCCATAAAAAAACATCATTTTTTTTCATACTCTTACCATAATTATAATACTCATGCCATGACCATAAATGTTGATTGCCATCAGGTATTATAAAGTGAAACACAATCAATTCTAATCCCTTATATCTGTGATTCCTTCAAGTTAATAATGATAAGCATAAATGCAAGAACAAAAAAAAGAATTATACAGTGCTGTTACCTCCAAAATTTGATTAGAACACTTAGATCCCACAGATTTGTAGACCTAAACAAAGACAACAAAATTATCAATAATCTAGGTTGTGTTTGGATAGGGCATTTTAAAATTCCTAAAATTAATGTATTTGGATAGTAAGAAAACGTAGTTTTAAAATATTACAGAATTGTAACTAAATAATTTTTAGTCAAATAGAAAGAATTTCAAATGACTTGTTTTTAGAGAGAATTCAAAATTCTCTATTATGCTTAACTTTTTATATATTTATCATTCATAACTCTTCTCATACTTGACTCTAACATCCCTCATTATTGTTTTCATATTTTATAGAATTTTAAAATCTCACGTCCAAACACAACATAAAGACAAACCAAGTTATAAAGACCAGAATTCACTCTAACCAAAAGCAACTAATCAAAGAGATAATAAATTATATTCATAAGCACTTAAGCCAGAAGCTAGCCCAATTCAAATTAAATAACTTGAAGGACAAAAGAAAAACAATCAATACGAGATGAAAAAGATCAGTCAACCTTAGTGGAACCTTGGGTGGCTAACACCATGGTACAAGCATCTCCCACAGAAAACTTGCATGAAATATGATCTCCCTACAACTCAAAAGGCAAGCACAAGCCCAAAGTTATAGGCAAATAGAAACATAACAGTGAAAACAAAAACAAAAAAAAAATTACACACAAACTTACAGATACAAGTCCACCTCCATAATTGAGTGCATATACCCAGACAGCATCAGTTTTGGAAGAACCCACCTGAGCAATCAGAGAAAGAAACCACTTTGGCATTACAAGCTAAGATTTTTATGCCAATAATCACTCCATAACACAAGCATACAAGCCTATGCACTTAAGTCAAAACATGACAAGGGTATAATAAAAAAAATAACTATACTAACAACAGTAATAATTGAGGAATGTTGAAACCTTTTTTGGTATGATGAACTTGAGGGGATATCTTGATAAGCAGTTTATAACTGATGATCTGCCTCTCACTTTTTCAACAATCACTGAACACATTTCCATTTCTTTGTCTCCCTCACCATTACTCATTCTTCTCACTCTACTGTCAATAGATGATCATGTCCTGTGCTGCATTAAAATTAAAAAAAAAAAAAAAAAAAACATATATTGTCTATCACATGGTTGGATGAAAAGAAAAATGAGAAACACAAACAAAATGCTATGCTTTCTTCTTTCTTTTCAAGTTCAAAGTTAACGTTAAATATAAAAAGTCAGGTCCAGCGGCATGCAACAAAGCAAAGGGGCAAAGAAAGTGTCTCTTTTTGAAAAAAAAAAAAAACAAAGTGATGAAAAGAAAAATGATTGAGATTTTCCTCTCTTTTTATGTTGGATGCCAGAGAGACCACAGCAACAAATGGGAAAATGGGTGCAATTGAGAAGAACAAGAATTCAACATCCAAAGGAGAAGAGGAAAAAGATGAACCTGAGAGTTGGGATGAAAGAGCAGCGTCAGATGCGTGGCAAGCTGGTCAGAAGACACCCGAGTCGTAGAGCAAGCAGGTGAGTAAATTCCGCACGCAATTTTTTTTTAATTCAATTTCGCTGTTTAAAAAAAAAAAAAAAACTTCAATTTTTACAAGTCACCTAAGTTGTTGTTTAAATATCTGTTATATACATAGAGAAGGGTATTTTTTTATATGGAATTTTTTACTTAATTACCATAATATAGACAAAAAAAAATTTACATAAACATGAAAAATTTGAAAAATTGCCAATTTTTGAAAAAAAAAAAAAAGGTAATTTTATATGATAGTAAAAATTGTCACAAGCAAGTTTTTAAAAATATAAAATTTTGTAATAAAAATCACTATAAAGTAAAATTATCACTGGCATTTTTTAAAATCTTGTTCTATATATAATCATTGCCAAAAATTACACTGTAACCCTCATTCTCTTCTCTCTCTAAAGCTTTCTATTACATTTATGTTGTTTGTGTTTTTTTTTTTTTTTTGTTAAATTTGGTCATTCTATTGTAGTTGAAGAAAGAAATGAGTATAAATATAGTGATGTATTTTAATGGTGAAATTATTATAAACATAATTGAAGGTGTGAGATTTACATGTGAGAAGCCAATTTGTATGCATAGTCCTTATAAGATATCATATGAAACACTAAAATATTAACTTTGTCAATATATTGAAGTGGAGACTCCAAAAATAGTAGAGAGTATAACATACAAGTGTCCGATTTCTATTTTCAGAGGTTTTATACAATACTAAGGAGTTGCAATAACAACCGATGAAAATATTCAACAAATGTTTCAGATACATTATGAGCATTGAGCCCTAACTCCTACCATTGAACTGTATATTGTTTTTAAACAAATTACAATTGATACACATGCAGAAGGTAGTGATGAGGAAGATGAAGCCTATGCGAGCATTGTTCCTAATAGAGAGATAGAATGGGAACAAAACAGCACCGAAAGTGATTACCCTAACTTTGATGAGGATGGTGATGATGAGGAATTAGAAGATGATGAAGTTGATGAACACTCCTATTTATCAAGTTCAGTGATTGGCAAACATTCGTTTGAGGTGTTGTTATTTATGCATGCGTTAGATCTTACAAGTATGCAAGCACCTGAATTTCTAGAATATGCTAACTTAAGTATGTAATGTTTGAAATATTTTAATTATACCCTTGTCATTTTATGTTTAATTTAATGAATTAGTTTTGTTTTTATTATTTATGTGTTTGATAGATAATTCTGAGGTAGTAGGAGAGTTGTGTGTTGGAATGTAATTTAATGACAGAGAAAATGTTATACAAACAATTAAGCATTACAATATATTAAAAGGAGTAGACTATAAAGTGTTTAAGTCTAAACCAAATACATTTTAGTGTAAATGTGTTAGTTATGACATAGATTGTGATTGACTTGTTCGGGTTAGCTTGAGGAAAAACAAACATTTTTAGGAAATCATGAAGTACAATGGGCCATACACTTGTATGAAGGCTAGGATTTCGCAGGATCATAGCAAGTTGGATGCAGACACAATTGCAAAATGTATTAAACTAATGGTAGAGTCTGACCCTTTTTTTAAGATCAAACTTGTGATTAATGAAGTTCAAGCTCAATTTGGATATACGACAACATATAGAAAAGCATACATGGCAAAACAAAAAGCAATTGAAAAAGTGTATGGTGAGTGGGAAGCCTCGTATGAAGCCCTGCCGCAATGGTCTATAGCGATGTGTGACACTGTTTGTGGGTTAATTGTTTAATTGGATGTTGTTGAAGCTTATCACAATGATGAGTTGGTTCTTGATGTTCAAATATTACGTCGTATTTTTTGGAGTTTTGCTCCCTACATTCGAGCATTTAAATGTTACCTCTTTGCAATGTGTGCACTAAAGTAATCTAACTAGCAAGTATACTAGTGTAGTTGTAGCAAGTTATAAAATTTGGAATTTAGTTTGAGTCCCAAGTATTATCCTCAAGGATCTCAATTATCAATTATCACTTCACAAATTAACACTTAGTTGAGCCTGACCATTGATTTGGAAAGTTTGTGTCATGTAAAGATATGAAATAACAAATATAAAAGTTATAAAAGTGTTGTAAAACAAAGTTACGAAATTTATGTTGAGATGATATGTGGAATGCAATTATGAATTATTTCACCAGATTTTCAAGTGCAACTTAATCATGTTCTAGACTCTTAAGAATTTCAATTGAGTGATAATCAATTTCACTTATTTAATCAAAGGACAATCTCTTGCCTCAATCCTAATTCTTTAGGTGTAATTCAATTAAATATTGCATTAAGTATCAGAAATTATAGGATTACAAGATTATGAATGCTATCCTTAAGATATCATTAACTTTGGCATATGATTCAAATATGAGAAACTACCTCAATTTCTGTTGATAAAAATTCCTCTAAGTTCAATTCAATTGAATGATCAATCCAACAATTGCATTAAAAACAGAATCAAATGTTCAAATCAATTAAAACCTCAAGGTCCATATCCACAATTAAATCATAATTTCAAATATGGATCCATAAATCCCTAATGGGAAGACTTTAAAACAATATTACAAATGGAGAGAAGAAAGAAATAGAAGAAGAAGAGGAGCAGAAGAACATCTTTAATTTCAATCTTCAATCTGATTCCTCAAGAGTTGAAGTTTGAAAGTCGCCCCCAATCTCTCTCTTTAACTTTCTTAGGAAGTGAAAACAAATGGAAAAGAAAAAATGGCAAAAGATCCCTCATTCTGAACTGTAACTGCTTTTTATATTTGTCCTGCCTTTGTCCATTTGGACACTTTAAACACTAAAAGTGTTAACGTAGAAGGTCTTCTAAAAGCTTCCTAGGCTGAAGTGAGAACTTTAAACGCCCAAAGTGATCACTTGAAAGTGGTTTTGCCAAGTCTATTTGTGCGCGTTAACACTTTGAATGCTTGGAGTGTTAACTTGCCAGCCTTCTTGCTGAATTGTATTTGCGCGTTAACACTTTGAACGCTTAGAGTGTTAATGCGCAAGCCTTTTCTAGGATTTTGCCTTGTGCGTGTTCATTTCGAACGCTTGAAGTTGTAACGTGCAGGCTCCTTCTAAAGTGTCAACTTTAAACACTTAAAGTATTTACTTTGAACTACAATTTTTGTAAGAACCTCTGGAGTTGTCACTTTATGTGCCCAGAGTGATAACTTTCAGCATACATCAACTGATTCTTCACTTTTTAAGCCAAATTCTTCCACTTTTTTCATTTAGATCTCAACTTCAAAACCTCCAGCTCAGCCTTCTGCACAAAATTAACCTTTTTAGCAGACTTATTCCAGAATTGAAATAAAATCTAAAATTCTAAGCTATTCACACAACTTTGAATATAAATGCAATTTTTATGATATTTTCAATTTTATTGATTATTTAACTACTTATTTACTATTAAACCAAACTAAAATACTAGTAAAATGTGGATTGATCATCAGACACTACAAATCACTTGTGCAGGTTGATGAGAAACATTTATATGAAAAATACAAAGGAGCTTTATTGGTAGCTATTGCACAAGACGATAATTAGAATGTTTTGCCAATTAGCTTTGCTATTGTTGAAAGAGAAACTATGGATGGTTGGCATTTTTCCTTGAGAATTTATAGAAACATGTTGTGATGCAAGATGGTGTTGGTTTTATTTCTGATTAGCACGAGTCAATTAATGCAGCAATAAGCGAAGTAATGGACAGTGGGACAACCATAACCAATTCATTGCATATAATGTGTACCAATTCCAATACTCATTAGACAGGTAATATTGGTCAATTGTCATTCCCTGTAATGTACGATGATATCGTTGTTCCCACATCATCATCCAATCATCATGCATCAACCTGCAGTCCTTTGGTTCTCTTAATCCACATAAGTCTTTGTTGTGGACTCCGTCAACACTTTAGGACGGGAGAGGAATAGGCTAAGCAAATCCATATTGCTGCATCACACGGTCAGTTGCATGCCACTCTATAACCTCAAAGCATATCATCGGGCTTACAGTTGACCACAATGAACGTTCTCCTCTCAGATCATATGGAACAATGGCATCAATCACTTCATCCTCATATGGTCACCACATAAACTGCATTTTCAAAAATAATTATTCATAAATAATTTCAAACATGTACAAAAAAAAGTTAAGAAATGTATAAATATATTAACAGGTACCTCGTATAGTGCCATTTGATCTAATGCTAGTCTAACATTTCCAAGATCCCTATATGGAGTTTTGGTTGGATATCAAAGGCGTCTCCATCTGAGTATAAGTGTAAATATTACTGGTTTACTAGGTATTGGAGCCAACCATGGGAGCCTATGTCATGCCCATACCTACAACAATATTATACACCTACAAATTTCTTTGGCATCATGTCATGAACCACGATCCAAACCTCTATACAAAACAACAAGGCATGCTGAACCCAACTATACATTCCAATTTTATGGATATTCACCAACAATTGTAAGAGTTTTCCATGTACTAGGGAGTTATTCTTGTTTGGCATTAAAACATGTCCCAACAAAGAAAATACATATCCACAAGCATGTTGTGCTATCCTAATGTTTGAATTAGCAGGAAGTCAACCAAAGTATTGTTTGATCCACTTTAATCTTATTTCAGAACCTTCAATATCATTTGATTCGGGCCGACTTCCTAATAATTGTTCACACATATTCTGCAGTGCCAAAGTATTTGGATTAGTAGAACCAATAACTGCTATACCATTGCATCACAATCCAAGCAACATAGCAACATCTTCTAATGTTATTGTGTATTCTCCACAAGGAAGATGGAATGTATGTATTCCTGGTCTTCAACGGTCAACAAGTACATTTATAAAGGCCATGATTTATATGCATTTGATATAATTATACAATACGATCAAAACTAACATTTCGTAAAATCTCATTTATTTCAGGCTTAGGTAGCATTATAGATCAGTGACATGGTCGTACTACTCTTATTACCTGAAATTAAAGAATAGTAATTTATCAGTAATCTATGAATTAAATATATATTA